ATTTTTATCGGGTCAAAGTGGTTTCGGATTGTCCTTGCTAAGGGCTACAATTCGATATGTGGTACACTCAAAACGGATAACGGGTGAATGAGAAATTGTTTTTCGAAGTTTACCCGTTGGAATGGAGAAAACTAGGAAAATGTGGGTTTTAGTGTGGGTTCTTTCCCACACTGAAAATCACAAGGGAATTTGAACCCTTTATAAAGGGAACCCCCCCCCCCCCTAAGGAGTTAAGATTCCTAAAGGGAAAGGCTCTCTCACGCGCGCAGGGGGGGTGCGAATCAAATCCCGAAACCGAAGAACAAAAACCGCGACTTGCGTGTGCGGGTGACCTGCACACCCGAATGCCGTCCGAAAATCTATCTTCTAAAGATAACGTTATTTTTTGTTCTTCCGGTACGTTCCTACTTTAATTTTTGCTCCATGCACATAAATGCCCAACGTCTATATGCTGCCATTGATGTCCCAACGTTCATATGAACGTTTTTGGGTTGTTTAAGGACTGGAATCAATGCCCAACATTTAGGACATTGATGTCCAACGATCATAACCCTTAAACAGCCATTAACACACCTTAATCCACCACTATAAAAGGCTAGTAGGTGCTTTGCAAATACACAACCTTTCATACACTTCGTTCACGTATTTTCATAGCTAAAACAGCACCTCTAGCACTCCATACAAACTCCTTCGGTGTTCTGCTTTTGTTCACGTTCGTTGGAACTTTAGTTTGAGTGCTAAACTATTGTTCGAAGTCATCGTATCCAGGGAAACGATCGTTGCAACGCTCCTAGCACCCCGGGAGGCAACGAATACGTTTTAAGGAAATCGTGCGTAGCACGAGCTTTGGCTTATTCTGCTTCATCTCATTTCTTGTTTTTCTTTAAGTCATTTTATTTAATTAATCTTTATTAATTAATTTTCTTTGTTTTTCGAAACACACCCAACACAGATAGTACATTAGCTAATGATGCTATATAATCAGCTCCATAACCTTCCAAAGAAGAGCAGATCACATTTGCAAAATGTTCAGTGGTAGAGTAGTTTGCTGAATCGTATATTAATATGGATTTTGGAATATCCTTGCATGTGTAATCTTGTAGTTTCTGAGAAATTATCCTCGTTCTGGTTGATCTCCTCTGAGGAATTGGATTCACAGGTGTTTGTTGATTATTAGGAATATTTTCTGAATCTTCATGTTCATGTATATGTACATCTGAATGTGTGGGTGGACTTGAATCGTGAGGTATAATGTTACTCTCAGTGTATATCCCTGAAGGTGTAACAGATGGGTAATCATTTGTGGGATCTGGTAGTTCATCCTTTTTGAAAGGAAAAATATACTCATGAAAAATCACATCCCTGCTGAGTATGATTCTTTTGGATTCGAGATCATACACCTTATATCCTTTTTGCCCAAAAGGATAACCAATCATGACACCCTGGATTGCCCTTGCTTCCATTTTATCAGAGGTCTTTATGGCTGCATAGCACAGACAACCAAACACCTTAAGGTGTTCATAATCTGGTTTTTGGTTAAACAAGATTTCATGAGGTGTTTTCCAGTTGATGACACATGATGGCATAAGGTTAATTAGATATGTTGTTATGAGTAAACATTCTCCCCAGAATCTTTTTAGTATATTAGCTTGGATTCTTATTGCCCTTGCTGTTTCAAGTAGATGGCGATGTTTCCTTTCCACTCTACCATTTTGTTGAGGTGTGTTAGGAATACTTTTTTGATGAATAATTCCTTTCTCATTGAAAAGTTTGAGGCATGCTGATTGAACTATTTCAGTCCCATTATCAGATCTAATCATCCTTATCTTTTGGTCCAAATTTGTTTCAACATAAGCAATGAAACCATGAATGATGTTGGGTACTTCAGTCTTGTCCCTTATCAGATAGGTCCATGTATTTCTACTACAATCATCAAGTATTGTTAAGAAATAAGAAGCACCCGTTATAGATTTCATTCAGTAAGGTCCCCACAAGTCTATGTGAACTAGATCAAATATTCTGGAAGCATTAGATTCACTTCTTCCAAAAGGCATTCTATGATGCTTTGCCAAAATACAAACTTCAACAAACATATTGTTAACATTCTTAACATCTTCTGCTAAACAAAGATGTTTTAGATTTGACAAAGATGTATGTCCTAACCTGTTGTGGAAAAGCAATACATGATCAGGAATATGGCAAGATTTATTCACTATACATTCTGTTGCCATAATATTGTGTTTATTGCTAGAAACGGTAGAAGTAGGAACAACTTTATTCATCTCATCCTTGGTTTCAAATATGTAAAGTCCAGATTTCTTCCTTCCAAGCATCATCCTCTCTTTAGTAGAAAGGTCCTGAATATAACACCCATAACCATCAAAACATGTTACCAAACCAGTATTCTGCAGCAGTTTTCCTATGGATAACAGGTTATGTTGAAATTAAGGAACAAACATTACATCCTTTAGGAAAATATTCTCAGTAAGCTGCACTTCACCAATGAGTCCAACCTTTTTAATATTTTCATCAGGTAAAGCAATACTAATAGGATCAGTTAATTGCCTTTTATTAATCAGAATATCTGAGTCATGAGTCATATGATCAGATGCACCTGAATCAATTATCCAATTCTTTGCTTTGACATATCTTCTACTTTCATTAACATGGGAAGCATAAATCATACCTGCCATGCTAAAACTTGCAGAAGCTTGTCTCATGTTTACACTAGATAGATTCTTATGCTTCAGATAATCTTGGATGACATCCACATCCATTTGATCAAGCAACTTGACTTGTGAATCCATCTCCTCATCAAAAGGTGTATTATCATAATTGTGTGTATTTTCTGTATTTTTGGAATTTCCATCACGACCTGTGTTACTAGCAAATTTCTTCTCATTTGAGTTTCTTGGATTCTTCTTTCCTTTTGAGCCTTTGTACCAATCTGGATAGCCTTTAATCTCAAAGCAGTCTTTCATCAAGTGTCCAGTTTTGTTACAAGGAACACATAAGAGAGATTGTTTTTCCAATTTTGATTTCAAATGATCAGTCTTGTTCATGATCTTATAATCTGAGTTAATACTCTGAACATTTGGATTTTGATTGTATTTATTTGCAATCATTGCCATTCCTCCTGAAATGTCACAATCCTGGTTGCTGATGGATTTTTGCATCTCAACCTGCTGTATTCGAAAAAAGGCTTGATTCACAGTTGGTAAAGGATCCACACCAAGTATCGGGTTCCTTAAAGGCTCATAATGATTGTCCAACCCCGTTAAGAACTCCATAAGCTTGTTCTTGTTGTCTTTCTCAATAATTCGGTTTAGGAGTTCACATGTACATGAATTCACAGCACCACATTCACACATTGGAAGTCCATCTAATGTTTGAATATCTTCCCAGACAGATTTCAGTCTACCAAAATATTCAGCAATTGTTCCTCCTTCTTGTTTTATCTGACTTAAATCCTTTTTTAATTGGTAAAGATAGGGAGCATTTGTCTGACAGTGCCTCTCTTTGATTTCTTCCCACAATTGTTTCGAAGAAGTCACATACATCATAGTTCGAGTGATTGTTGGAGTCATTGAATGAACAAGCCAACTCATGACTGTGTAATCAACTCTTATCCATTCCTGGAAATTATCAGAATCTTCACTCGGCCTTTTTAACTTTCCGTTCACAAACACCAGCTTGTTCTTCGAAATTAGAGCCATTTTAACGCCTCTGGACTAGTTCAGGTAATTGTTTCCATTGAATAAATCGTTTGTGAGCACTAGATTCGAATGATCATTGGATGCCAAATATAATGGATCCTTGTATGATCCAGCTGAATTCATTGTACTCATGGTAGAACTTTCCTGAATCGGCATTTTTGACGAAGAATTTGGAAAGTATTGTTACTCGATCATTCCTAGGGCTCTGATACCATCTTGAGTTTCAGAATAGTATTAGGAAGAAAGAGAAATCTTGTTTTAGTTTATTCATGAAGAAGATGTATTACAGAGAGCGTGTGTAGAATGGGATTGTAAGAAGCAAAATATATATATAGTATTGTTTTAACCACCTCTAACTAACTATAGGTACCGACTGATTAGAAATATCTAGAAGTGGCGTGTAAACTAAGCTAACTAATTAGCTAGCTATACTTCACACAATCATGTCCTTTAACTCCAGCCCCGGGCTGAATTTCATCTTAAAATGAAATATATTTTCAAATAAGGTGACGTCCTGAGAACTATACATGGTATGTTTCTCCAAATCAAATACACGATAAGCCTTTTGTCCATTTGGATAACCAAGAAAAATGCAAGGACTACCTCTTTCACCAAATTTATCCTTTTGTTTGTTATTGTGTGCATATACCAAACATCCAAAAACTCGTAAATGGCTATAAAATGGTAATTTTCCAAATAACATTTCATAAGGACTTTTATTAGAAATGATGGGTGATGGAAGCCTATTAATTATATAGGCGGCTGTAAGAATACATTCCCCCAAAAAATTAATAGGTAAGCCTGACTCGAAACGGAGGGCCCTGTAATATATGTCTGTGTTTACGCTCAACGACACCATTTTGTTGAGGGGTGTCAGTACATGACGTTTCCAACATTATTCCATGTTGTCTGTAATAATTGATCAAAATGTTGGTTTGAAATTCAGCACCATTGTCTGCTCTTATCCTTTTAGCTCGCTGTTCGAACTGGGTATGCACCATTTCAAAAAATTGAATCAAAATCTGGGGAACTTCTGATTTATTTTTCATTAAATAGACCCAAACACCTCTTGTAAAATCATCTACTATGGTCAAGAAATAACGTGCACCAGTAATAGATTCGCACGTGTATCCTCCCCAAATATCACAATGTAATAATTCAAAACATCGATTTGTCTTAATTGTACTGACTGGAAAAGGTAGACGTGTCTGTTTAGCGCGTACGCAAGAGTCACAAAAATTGTTTGTTCGTTCTAGTCTTTGAAGAGAGGCAATGTGATGTAACCTGTTGTCTGATGCGTGTCCCAATCGCTGATGCCATAAATCAAGATTAACTGAAACTGCCATTGCCACCCCCTTATTTTCTGGTGACTCTAAGTAATAGAGACCATTATGACATCTGCCCACCCCAATCAACTTCCTCGAGGATAAGTCCTGTAAAATACACATATCATTAAAAAATGTAAGTGTGCAATTACAATCATTTATGAGGCGGTTAACTGAGAGTAAATTGCACTGAAAATCCGGAATATATAGGACTCGTTGCAGACGAAATCCATTGAATAGTTGTAAAGTGCCGATAGCTTGAACAGTGGCTAAATCACCGTTAGGAATTTTAACAGTCGGTGTGGAGGTGTGATTCTGAATGTTAATGAGACCATCATTATTACAAATGATGTGTTCACTTACCCCAGAATCAATGATCGAAGTGCGACCCCTAGATGAAGTATTTGCCATATTTATCTGAACATCAGAAGAAGTAGGGGCATGTATTTTGTCTTGTAGTTGGTTTTTCATAATTTGAGCTAGCTGGAGTAATTGCTCGTTAGAAAGACCAAAACTAATGTCGTTTTTTCCATCCACGTGAGCCACTCCACTATCACACATGATGCGTGAATCAAATTGACGAGTTTCTGCTCCTCCGCCCAATTGATTTTTCTTAATGTTGTTTCTCCAGTGGAATGGATAGCAATTGCGCTCAAAGCAGGTATCATATGTGTGATTAGTTTTCCCACAATAGGAACATGACCGGCCTTCTTTTCGACGTCGAAATGGAGTGACATATACTGTTGGTCCAAAATAGGACGCTCGTAGGCTTTTAGGAAAGCTACGTACGACACTCAAGCAAGAATTAGGAAAGTACGAATATGGAAAGTTAGCCAGAAATAGCATATAGAAGTTGCCTCCCCTAATCTGAATTACAACCCGCCTTTTATAGGCGTATACAAATCGTAACCGTTACCGATAATAATGACTAATTAATTACAACATTAATACGGAATTAAATACATAATTAATAGCGCATTAATTGCTCGACCGTTACTTTTCCGGGCTAGGAGGTCGGCCGGACTGGCAAGCTCCCCGCTGGGCTGGCTGGTAGGCTCCAGGTTATGGACTTGGATCCATGGGTCCAAGTTCGGGGCTTGGGCTGATTAGGCTCTGGACCTAGTCCCATTACTCCATCACGAGTCCCCCACTCCATTAGTCGAGTAGTAGACTCGGCTAAGAGGGAGTAGTCCAAGTCAGTTGCTCTTCTCCGAGACTAGAAAATCCCCGCCCTTATCCATGTTGGGGAGACGCCTCATTAAAAACCTTCATTAGAAAAAAAACCCAATGGGAAAAAATCATAATGAAGGGAAAAAGAGTACATCTGACGCCCCCAAGATGAAGCAAGAGGTGAGATCCTCAGCCTTTATTGCAATGATCGCCATCTGCGAATAGGATGGCTAGAACTGTTCTTCTCGTCGGACTCAGACTCGTCAGGTTTGTTATTTGCTTCCTTGAAGACGGTAAGACCCTCAGTCCCCCACTTCATTCAGTTATACCTACACATAAAAGAAACTAGTGTAGAATAGAGCATCAGGCCTGGTGTCGAACCATGGCTCGGTGTGTAAGTGAGTCGGACTCACTACTTGAAAAAAATGACATCAAGTTCCCAAGTTAGGCCTCAACCCAGTCTCCGAAAGAAAGATTGAATCCGCAAGTAAGTGAGTCGGACTCCTCACTCGAATGGATAATCCAACTCCAAAGAACTAAAGTATATCAACCTTTTCGAGAAATGTGAATGTCAATTAAGTGACAAAATTGCTCGGAAGAGCGTGGCTCTAGGCCCCTAATAAGAGTTTAACTCGCCGCCCGAGGTTAGTAGTTCGAACCCGCAAGTAAAAACTTTTGAACAGGTGACTCGTCCCCCGAGGTCGGAGTGTGATGCACTTGGAAAGGGTAAGAGCACGCAAGAACTCGTATGAAGTCAAGAGTGTGCGGTATTAACATTTATATTAGAGCTTATTAATCGACACACCCATGTGACGTGACCCGGTGGCGCGAGTGTGTGTGCTCGGCCAGTGTACGAGTGTGTGTGCTCGCCCGGGGTACGTGAGTGATCGGATTTCATAAGCCCATTTTTCAATGTTAAAATTACACATGCTTAACAAGAGTAAAAGCAATTAAACCACTTAAAATATCTTTTCAAATGTTTGAATTTATGATTTTTTTTTGTATCAAATATAGAGGATTTTTGGAAACTTAGCTTTAGAGCCAAACAGGCCCGAATGCGTTGCTGAAAATTCAGCCCATCATCCTTGAGGAGAATCAAATTTGGTCTTAGTGTAATCTTGATCCATCCACTTTAACGCAGACTCTTGCTCCATAGGAATTAGGTGGGTGCACATTTGAAAGCCTATCTCATGAATAAGTGTGGCGATGAGGGAGACCAGCAGCGATGTCGGCGCACGACATCCAGCTTTTATTGGCGAAGAGAACAGGAGGAAGTGGAACTGTAGCACCTTGGATTGGGATGAATTTCTTGAATTTTTTCCTACTAAAGTGATATGAGAGATCAATAGAGGCTCTCAACGAAAGCACCAATGTTGGTCCAAAATAGGACGCTCGTAGGCTTTTAGGAAAGCTACGTACGACACTCAAGCAAGAATTAGGAAAGTACGAATATGGAAAGTTAGCCAGAAATAGCATATAGAAGTTGCCTCCCCTAATCTGAATTACAACCCGCCTTTTATAGGCGTATACAAATCGTAACCGTTACCGATAATAATGACTAATTAATTACAACATTAATACGGAATTAAATACATAATTAATAGCGCATTAATTGCTCGACCGTTACTTTTCCGGGCTAGGAGGTCGGCCGGACTGGCAGGCTCCCCGCTGGGCTGGCTGGTAGGCTCCAGGTTATGGACTTGGATCCATGGGTCCAAGTTCGGGGCTTGGGCTGATTAGACTCTGGACCTAGTCCCATTACTCCATCATATACATCTCGGAATTTATTACCAGATTGAGTAAAAGAAGATGACATGGGGTCTATGACTAAATCACATGACTCATTAGAACTAGCCTTGGTTTTACCATAAACCACCATAGTTACCGAAGGATGAAAAAATGTGTGAAGATTGCGAGAGGAGGAGGAGGAGGAGGAGGAGGAGAGGAGGAGGAGGAGGAGGAGGAGGAGGGGGAGGAAGAGGAAGAGTAAAAATATGGCTAAAGGGTCAAATAGGTCCTTGTACCCTTTCGGATTGCTCAATTTGCCCCCTCAACCCAAAAGAGCTCCAATTGGCACCCTGAACTCGATAAAAATATTCAAATTTCACTTTTTGCAGGTTTCAATCCGGTCATCGCCACGTCACCCGGTAGGGTGCCAACTGTGCATGTGACATGGCAACTTAGGGGGTCAAATAAGCCCCTGCTGAACCCGACCGAAATGTTCAATTTACCCCCTCAACCCTTAAAAATATTTTGACATTTTTTAGGGTTGAGGCGGTAAATTGAACGATTCGATCGGGTTCAGGGGCTTATTTGACCCCCTAAGTTGCCACGTCACATGCACAGTTGGCACCCTACCGGGTGATGTGGCGGTGACCGGCTTGTGACCTGCAAAAAGTAAAATTTGAAACTTTTTATGGAGTTCAGGGTGCCAATTGAAGCTTTTTTAGTTCGGGGGGCAAATTGAACAATCCGGAAAGGTACAGGGACCTATTTGACCCTTTAGCCTCAAAATATAAACCAGGGATGAAATAATATTACTAACAATAGATGTGAGAAGATTGGAAGAGCAATGGAGAAATCCTCCTGCTTATTTATTTAGTATGTGTCCGGAGTATATATATAATACATGAGATGGACCTATGTATAATAGGTGAGAGAAAATAAGCATGCATGTTCCATGCGAATGACTATCTACATAGGAAAATACATACATGTACAAATAAAAAGATAAAATGGTACGTAGAAAAATAAGTCAACTTTAAAAAAAATGTGCATTTATATATTTCGGTAATTTCACATTTACGCAGTAGTCGTAACACATATAAGGAATCCCATTTCATTATATATTTAAATCTATTATTTTATTTAGTAAGACTGGGTTATAAACTGTTGACATGTCATTCTGGTATTGTTTAACAAAAATTCTATTATTATTATTATTATAAAAATATTTAATTAGTTCCAAACAAAAAGGAGATCGAACAACTATAATGGAAAATGAAGAAAAAAAGTGTTAGTACCCAATTTTGATAGATTTTGATGATGCTACTATACTTTGCACCTGTACATTGTGTCTTATTTTATTCAAGTATTAGTGTTTAAATTTTGATAATAAGTGACAAATAAATGTACAATTTTTGAGACTAAAACAATTATATTGGAAATTTTAAAATGAGCGCAATAAGGTAATTTTTATTTACCTTAATAGGATATTTAAATCCTACCAGTATAAATTTATTTGTACACAAAAATTAAGTGTCACAAAAAGAAAGTCATACAGGTTCAAAAATCATATACATTAAAAGTAGATGATTGAAGACAAAACTTGACCGGCATTTAATACCGGATCAAGTACACGGACCTACAACTTGGGACGCACACATGGGTATACCTTTGTCGCGGCCTAATTATTCAAGACAAGAAAACCGTCCCAATAAATGCTCCAACAAAAGAAGACGAATGTACAACTCGTCATTGCCAGACCTTCAATGACGAAGGTTAAACCATCCTAACCAACAGATGAGATTAATCAACAGGAGAAGCCTATAAATATAGGCTGAAATGAAAGTGACTTTTAGCGGATCATCAAAGGAGTCATAGTCAGAGAGAGAAGCTCCCATCCATCTCTAACTCATCCCCCTTTTTTCCTGGTGGCGGAAATGGGGCAGCCACCACCGCTGTCACCACTCACCAAACCACCGAAATACCCCATCCCAAATCCTAAACCCAAGCCTTCAAACACTACTCCATAAAATCAAACCAGCAAACCCTCCTACGCAGACGTACTAAAGGTTAATCAGTAACCAAAGCCCTCCAACCTTCCACAGCAGGTTTGCTCTATCCAGAAACCGGTCTCTTTTGTCGATGTCGTCTCTCGCCCAGCCCCTGATCTTGTTCCACTCAAACCTCCAACCACTATCAAAGGATTACCAGCAGTGTCTTTCTCTCAGCAAGAGGTTGACTCTCTAGCAGACAGGCTCTCTTACGCTCTAATAGGGTCATTCTTTGACGAACAACCCAGGTTGCTAGCGATAAGAAAAACCTTTGACAGGTTAGGGTTTAAAGGTAAATTTTTCCTTGGGCATCTCGCGCCAAAACATATTCTCATCAGATTCGAGAAGGAAGAGGACTATCAAAAGTGTTGGTATGGAGGAACCTGGTCTATTTTTGGTAATATATTGCGTATTACTAAATGGTCTCCCAGCTTCGTCCCAGGAACTGAATCTCCTATTTTACCAGTTTGGATTACCTTTGCTGGACTGCCGGTACACCTTCAGGAAAGAAGTGCACTAAAATCCATAGCAAACCTGATAGGAAAACCAATTAGGTTTGACAAGGCAACAGTGTCTATGGCTACCCCCTATGAAGCTAGAGTTTGTGTGGAATTGGATGTTACAGCTGAGAGAGTCTACAAAATTTGGATTCAAACTGGGAATACTGGTTTCTTTCAAGAGGTAAGCTACGAAGAACTACCTCCTTACTGCCATACATATTCTTTGTTTGGTCAT